CTTCCAATATTTGTGGGTTTAACAAAAAAAAAAAGGTCCACGCGTCGTTGCTTAGTTGGACTTATTTCTTGACTTACAATGACACGGTTTCTATTTTATTTTATTTTATTTTATTTTTTACTTTTAGCTAGTGTTACTGTTACCTCTGCTATTATTTCTGAATATGAAAAATATGGTACACAACCTTTAAGCAAGAAAAGCCAAAATTAAGTAGCAACAAATTAAAGATTTTCGAAATGAAGGGTATGGTTGTAAAGTTTGGCGTAAAGTTGAATCAAATTAGTCCAGATACAGTGCCCGAATTAGAGGGAAAATCACTGATTGGAAAGAGCTTTATATGCCTAAAAAAATAATTAACTTACAAAGACCATTTCCAACTAGATCTACTTCTTCTTTAGAAACTCAAGTTTGTAGAGAAAACCGGGTTAAATTTATAGTAACTAATCAAAAAATGAAACAACAATTAAAAATAGATAAATCAGTGTGCAGCTGCAGGTTTCTCAAGCAAAGCACACAATTTCAACTACTAGCAATGGTCGATACACTCACATGCAACTCTCAAATATCTTTTCCATATCCTGTTCCCACATGTGATAATAATAGAATCTCCTAAAGTGATTTAGTTAATTTTCAATTTCACAAATTTTCTAGCATATGTCAGAAAAGTAGAGATATAAGTAAGGTAACTTGTAGTTTATTTTACAGTGTTATTCAATCACATATCACTATCTACAGTAAGTTTTTGTAACTTAAACTAAAACTATCTTAAAAATTTCTGTGATTTTTTATTGGTTGACGGTGTAAATTTTTTACACTAGAAATTAAACTCAATATGTGAATGCCAAGAACTAAGCTGCATGAGTCAAAATATGGTTGGATAGCACAGTGGCGGAACTTGAAAAAAAGTTTTAGGGATGCCAGATGATTTTTTTTTATATATAAAATTATAAATTAATTTTTTTATTGGTTTAAATATATTTTTAGCCCCTCAAATTTAGGATAAATTTGTTTTTGGTCCCTCAAATTTAAAATTGTTGTTTTTAGTCCTGTAATTTTAAAAAATCTTATTTTAAACCTTATATTCAAATTTTGTTAAGAAATTTATCAAACATTATTGCTTAAAATCTACCTATTGACATTTTTATTAGTGAAAATATTACATTAATTTGATTAATATTGTATAGCTGTCTTAATTAGTCACTTTCAAATATGTTATTGGTGACCTAAAAGACTAAAACAAGATTTTTGAAAATTATAAGGAGTAAAAATAGCAGTTTTAAATTTGAGAGACCAAAAACAAATTTGTCTTAAATTTAAAGGACTAAAAACATATTTAAGCCTTTTTTTATTAGTTAAAAAAATAATAGAATTTCTCTTTTTTAACTTAATTTTTTTTATTTTTATTATAACTAATGATATAATAATATATAAATATAATATTAATATATATATATATATATAATTTAGAAAAGTTTGGGGGAGCCGTGGCTCCCCCCTGTCACCATTAAGATCCGCCCCTGGGATAGCACTTGTATATATAGTCATGCCCCATTTCAACGAACCAACTGCAAAGTTGTGAGGATGACATCCGTATTGCCATTATCTCTATCTGCTTTCATACTGGATGTTTCTGCTATTGTGCCAAGCACAAAATTCGACCTTTTTATCATTTAAAAGGAAAAAGGATGCAATATAAAGGGATTTAAATAGCAGCATGTGACCATAACATTGCAGCTTTATAACAGTCATTGAGATCAACCACATTTTTTCATTATTTCTACTCACATGAATCATTATTGTTTTGGTATTTTCATGATCGTGGTGCCACGGCTTTAATGCAGTACTACTAGTAAAGGTTATCTTGCTTAAAGTAGAAAAATGATTGGCTTGTGATGCTTTCAGCACCAGGTCAAACAATAAGACATTGTACCTCAAAATGGTTGTTAAAATTAAAAAGAATGCTGAGGGAATATTAGTGCAGTTCCAAGCAAAGGAAATGAATTTGGATGTGGGATGAAAGGTAGGCCTTAATGTTAGAGCATATTGGAGACAGTGATGCAAACTTTAAAATTATTTAGAAGCTTTCTGAGAAAGGGTTTCCAAGTGGGAGTAATTTGGCAACTAAAACAAAGGGTAGGTGTCCCCAGTTTGACAAACTCTAGATTCTCTTGGTTTAGTGCATATTGTTCTGATTGACAACCTCTCCTCTCCCTGTCCACATGAAAAATGATAAGATCAAAATATCTTACCATTAAAGCTTAGGTGGGACACAAGGCAGAATCTAAAACATAATGTCATTCATTGTGTAGGTAATTAAACAATTCTAAAGAAGACACAAAGAAAAAAAGCCATGTTAATCATTCATTTCACTGCATACTTAGGCTCAGAAAACATGGTGGAAAGTTTAGAATGACAACAACAACCAAAGAATTTGTGGCTACATAAATTCAAACTATTGTGTTATGTCACTTAAAGCGTTCCTTAATTTACCTTTACTTCTCGAATTATATTCCATCTGATCAACTTTCTTAGCTGGTACTTATCATGTCAAGAATCATAATCACACTAATAACCAAATACCGTAAATTCTTTTACCCTCGTTGAAGAATAGTTTACATTTCTATGATTCATAATTCTATTCTGGTTTTCTGAGTAGATTATACCATTCATTCACTGTCAGTCTAAGATCGTGTCTCAATTTTTTTTCTGTCACAGGCTACTATACTAATTTGATAAACCAAAGCATGGTACATATTATTTAGTTTACATGAGGCAAATTTCTTGAGATAATGTGCAATGTGAAGAATGAATTCCTGCATCAGTTTTGCTTAAACTTTAGAGTCTGTGGTGTGCCTATGTATACGTACACATCGAGAAAGAAAAAGGATAGTGTGGTACGAATAATCGAAGTGTCTTATGGTTTATATGATCATAAACAAGAGAGGGAGCACAGAGAGAGAAATGAGTAATTTCAACCACAAGTATATAAATGATTACCGACATTAAGTGCCTTTTTCCCTTTCTTACAAAGGAAGTGAACCTAAATCATTGAAGGTTTTAAAAAGAGGTTAAAGTTTATAAATTTGCAAGCCAGAAAGCCCAATATTCTGGGTTTGTGATTGCCTGCAAATGCTAAATGATTCAAGATTTGTGTCTGATTACTGGGTCCAAAAATTATATTCCACGGGAATCTGATAATAGTAATTTGAGCCCCCAAAAAAGCATCGTACATAAAATTTCGCCACTTTTTTCCTATTAAAGGTTGCCATGCCTCATCAAAGGCCCAAACTAATCCAACTTTTCTCTGTAATGAAAATCATTAAGACAAACAATTAAATAAGTAGAAAAATTAACAAAGTCTAGCTTTCGGATGGCAATGGACTTTAACTTCTATAATGTAGGAAGCGCCAAAAAAAAGAGTACCTCATGGATGATGCTCTTAACTAATTTTGTCACATCAAATAAAAACACTTGACTACATAAAGGGAAAGCGAGAGGAGAGTTAAGATTCCAAATGAAGTATTCTTGGCATAAATGAGGGGAAACTTTATATATAAAGAACAGAAAAAGAATAAAGATTCTTCTGATCCATTGTTTGAATATCATTTTTTTTAAAAGTTCTTGTTGATTATTCACTGTTCTATTCTGTGGTAAGCATAGGTAGGCAATATAAAAACAAATTTCATATTGTCTGCTTTCCCAAATGTAAATATTGGAATGGTAAAATGTAAAAGATTTTCCCTTTTTTGTGTCTATTTAATAGTTTTTGCTTTGAAGAACTGTAACATACATCTCTATGCCAATTTGGGAGTCTTGGCCCAATTTTAACCAGGCCTGATATGATCTCATGCTATTCAGCCACAAAGAAACCGATTATTATGAGTAAGCAATTGTATAGTGGATTCAATGGTCAATTTGCGTGTTTGATTACGTTTATTTTAGAGAAGTAACAACTTTTCTCTGATAGCTTCTAGAAAGAACTTAGAATTATTTTTTTTTTTCAACATTAATCCTAACCTAACATGGTAGCTACCACTTTTACCTTATATAGCTACATTTCACAATAACATGCAACTTTTCTAGAAGGGAAGAATGATTGACAATAATTCTTTGCTCCATAAAGCACTAAACTGGTAAGACTCCAGCCTTATCTCTTTGTACCTCAAAAATTCCCAAGGAATCAAAATTTCTACTAGCCTACAAAACAATTATTGGGAACCAAAGCCAACCAACAACAGAGCTCAACGGTTAAAAGGCGAAGTTGAACAGAAAATAATAATATACACATCATTTTATATTTAGTTTTGCTGAGTTTAAGATATTGTTCTACATACATTTTTTAAACCTTCTCATGTTCTAAGTATTCTGGTACATTCACATTTAGATTAATTTTGCAGGGGAAAAAATTGGTTTTACCTGGGAATCTAGTACTAGTGATCATTTTTGTGGTTCTTTTGGGACTATTTACCCTGGATGAAATTGTTTAGAACATGATAATCCATTCTTACTTATAGTCCCGTTTGTGCTAGTCCATATGCCATGTGCCTACTATTACGGAATTGAGCCTAAAACCATTTCTTTTATGAAATAAAAAATCAATTGGGCTTTTCTAAGACATTACCCAAGGAAAAAAAATCCATTAGATTGTGATTATAAATAGCAATCACGATGAGAGCACTTACTCCGAAATTTTTGAGTGAACAAGCCGAATATAGACTTTGCATCGAAATCAACCAAATTTTCTTTCAATCGCAGAACTTGACACAGCCAGAGTTATAAACAGAATAAAGCAATCACATTTCATAAAACAATTATGGCATAATATAAGCATAATTGTTTAAACAGACAGTTTAAAAGATTTTCATAGTATTACCTGTCATACTAATTATTTTATTAATTACGTTTGAAATGATTACTAATTGTCAATATAATTTTATACATTGTTTCAAAATTAAACTCCAAATTCAGTTTAATTTAATATTGGTACAACAGTCAAAACGTGATGAATTGTTTAGAGCTCAAACAAGAACTTGCGATACGAATCCAATGCAACCATCATTGGATGTCTCATGCTTAAATACTGTTTGATAAACATGTCAAAATCGAATTAAAAAAAACCAGGCAAAAGATTACAAACTTGGTACATTTGAGTTCCACTAAAAAGGAAAAACCCAAAAGATCTAAACTGAACAGGTTGTCCCATTCCGTTCTGTTCATATGCCGACACCGTCTTAAATTGATAACGAATGAATTACACCATCCAAAGCTTACAGAAAAATTGACAACTAACCGCGTTAGCCTGGATCAAATTGAAGTCTAGGCCTTTAAAGGTGCAATACAGCATTGCCTGCACGTAGAAAAATAACAAAACTTGCATGTCTTTTACATTCAAATATCTTTTTGACCCCATTGCTAACTTGTTGCAACTTACAACCAAGACTGTTATTACAATAACAACAAAATTTACATCACTCCAGCCTCCAGGGTCCCCTTTCTCCTATCAGAATCCTCTTGTAGCATACATTTATTATCCTGGTCATTGTTAGATCGATTTCATGCTGTAACAATTAACGTGATCATTATCACTTGGATAGTCAGATCATGAATCAGCGACACACGGAGTCTTCAAATGATTAGTTGTTTGTCAATAAGGACAGTTTCATGAACTGCCCTTTTATCAATCATCAGTCAAGTTTACCCAAGATCAAACTCACCCAAACTTGTTTCACCATACATCGCAGGAAAAACCTGTGAAATTTTGATATCCAAATGAGCATGTTAACCTATCAACAGGATGCATTTCAACATAAAAATAATGTTTATCCAAAATGTTCAAAACATCAGCAGAAAATATCAAAAAAATCCTCCAACCTTGTCTATAGTGGCTGAAAATATTACTGATCATGATTATAAGTTTACTTGGATAGTTAATTGTTAACAGAGAAATCAGGGTGTGAAATTTAATAAGAAACATCATATTTATAATCATAAGAAACAGTGACCTTCCGATATGCATAAGTTAAACAAAATGGCTGTTTACAATTATAACTTTTGATATCAATAATATAGTGAATTGAGACCAACCTATTATTAAGAGTTCACTGATCATCCAATGCAGCTTGAGAATCGTTCTATTAAAGCAATTTCCTGCTGCTGCAAATTATAAAGCATAACCATATCGCATAAAGACATGGATAAGTTCTTTTAAACTTCAACCACAGTCCTATCTAAAAATTCCTAAAAAGACATGAACAAGGCAGGCAAATACCGCATAAAGTATGTTGGCTAAACAATGAAAAAAGCTGAAAATTTTCTCTTAAATATTACTTCCTAAAACCCATTTTCGGTTAATTTCCATTTAGGTAGATGACCATAGATGAAGACCCGAGCATTAAGCATCCCTTGATTCAACAAAACTAAGGATTACAATCCCGGAAGAGACAAGACATACAGAGATAGACAGGCACGCACAGGCATGCTGTTCAACCAGTCCATGTTTCAAAGAAAGAAGTCTAGGCTACAATAAAAGGAAGACAAAAGACAAGACCATTTTAATCCCTGAGGAAATTCATATTTAGAAACATTGGGCCAACCGCCAACATGATCAGGCAAACTGAAACTGTGACACAATCAAGAGCAGGTGAATTTAATATGGGTCAAATTATTGACTAAATACCACAAGTTAAAACTTAAACTAATAACCCAGAAAAATTGTCAATGACCAACGAACAAAAAAATAAAAAAACTGCTTGATATACCGAGCAGCAGTTCAAAGAAAACCATATGTTAAACCATTTCAAACAACTGCAATCAGGCACCCAAAAAAAAGTGTTTCACATGCACCTTGTTGGTTGCTGACTAACAGGAAACTAGAGTTGGAAATGAAGTACTAATATGAAAGCATAAAAAACTGAGTGAATCTAACAGGAAATCATTTCATGTAATTACATAGATGATAGATCGGATCCGAGTGCAGGAGCGTTTAGAAGAACTTATATGGATTCACATGTAAGCATCATAATTAGGACTTGGTTCTCGATAACTCCAACAACTACAGAAACAACTACAACTAATCCCACTAGGTTGGGTTGACTACATGGATCAATCAAACACCATTTACAGATTTGACCTAAAAATTATATAAATATTTGGGATTTTAGAAACTTTTTTTATTTCATTCTCACATGTCCTGCATCAAATAATAAATATAATAAAAAATACTAATTGTAAGCATCATATTTCTCACAGATTAAGAACCAAAATCAATAAGTCCATATCACAGGACTGTAAAGAAAGAAATGGAATGTCACCACTATAAACACTAGATTGCTGCCAAAATGGAGTCAAATGATATTTACAAATTACAAATGTGAGAAATTACATTATAACATAATGCAACAATATTTTATCCTCCATAGGTTTGCACACAGTGTATTATAGTTTAGCATGAGCACTGAAGTCTTACTGGTAGTACTAGCACAAATAAAACCAGGAACTAAATCAACACGAGATGAAGAACAAATTCAAAGGGAGGGCATTGATGTGAAATATGCTATGACAATTAGAATCTCCACCAATATATAATTCCACACTTTTAACTCACAAGAAATTCCTTGTATTGATTAGCTAATTCTCGGAACCAACAAAATAAAATAAATGCATGACGGAAGAACAAATTGGAAGCCTTCTCTCACACCCTCTACTTACAAAATACATACCTCCCTTATGACTCAACCTGATTGCCCTCTCATATTTACACCCTTGCTAAGAATTTAATTCACTCTGCCTTTCACATACTCACCCCTTACTACAGGTCTCGATACAAAAATTCATAGATACATGAGCAGGTTGGCAAAAAAGACATAAAATATGTTAGCAGGCTAAATAATAAAAATTCGAAGATGGAAGCTTACACGAAATCATTAAATTCCATCATAACGGCACCTCTATAACATGTTTCAGCATTATGAGCATCCCGAATCGGAATGCCAAAATAAATACCAAGTGTCATAGCTAATTTATTGCTTCAATTTGGTTGGGCAACTTTTGATATGCTTTTCCGCCTCTTCAAAAACCCATCCATTAGCTTGATATATGCATATTTATTTAAACTAACTCCCTTCTGCTCTGACTCCAGAAATAGTTTCATTGCCTCCTTGTACTTCCCCCGAGTACACAAACCACTTATTTGCTCTGAGTTTGTATTATCACCCGAAACATCATGCTCTTGGGAAGTGCCATGGGTTTTCACATCTTGCCCAGTCTCTAAAAGTTTCGATGTAAATTTCTCTACTTCGTCAGTCCTACCGGCATGAGTAAGCGCATTAACAATGGCATTATAAGTATACTGGTCAGGCTCCAATTTTTTCCCCTCCATTTCAGTCATAAGATTAAATGCTTCCTCGAGTCTCCCTTCTTTGCAAAGAGATGATATCAATGTGTTGTATGTAACTACATCAATGGGATTCCCTTTAGAGACCCATGTTTCAAAGAGTTTAAAAGCTTTCTCCAGCATGCCCTCTCTGCAGAGTCCTCGAAGAAGAATGTTGCAGGTAAAGATATCTGGTTTGAATGAGTTCCCCACCATTTTGTTATGAAACTCAAATGCTTTATCTACCATCCCCTCCCAGCAGTAACCGTGAATAATTATGTTACAAGTAGCCCCATCAGGGACCAAACCCTTCTCCAAAAGCTCATTAAGTTTATCCACTGATTGGTCAGTTTTTCCAGACAGGCATAACCCTCTAATTAGAGTGTTATAAGTAACAACACTAGGAGCAATCCCTTTCTCCCTCATCTCATCCCAAAGCTTCAAAGCTCTGTCTCCTTGCTCACACTTAAAGTACCCCATGATCAGAGTTCCATAGGTTACCTCGTCAAGAATATAACCCCGCTTGCCCGCCTTCACAGTCAAATCATATGCCACTTCAGGCTTCTTCTCCATGCACAAAGTGTGCAATACAATGTTAAGAGTAAAAACATCCGGTTTGAATCCCTTCCTTGTCATCTCATCCATCATCCTATAGGCCTCCCCCAGCCTCCCTGTTTTACAATAAGCATTGATCATAGTATTATAAGTAAAACGGTCCGGAGAAACTCCACTCTCGACCATCCTCGCGACAGCACCACTGGCCTCATCGATCCTCCCTTCCTTACAAAACCACTTGACCATTATATTGTGAGTGACAACATTCATCTCAACTCCCCTCACCTTCATCTCCTCAACCAACTTAAACCCCTCGTCACTCCCCCGGAACACAAAACACCCATGAATCAAAGTATTATAAGTAACAACATCCGGGGTCAGCTTGAAACTCTCCATCTCATCTCTAAGCCTAAGAGCGTCCTCGATCTTCCCCTCGTCGCAGAAGCCTCTGAGCATGGTGTTATAAGTCCAAATATCAGGCAACATGCCATCCTTGGTCATCAAATCAATAACCTGAGCAGCTTCCTTGAGCCACTTCAACCTGCAATAGCCATGAACCAAGATGTTGTAAGTGTTCCGATTGGGGGACAAGCCGGTGCCCTTCATTTCCTGAAGCAGTTCCCGCACCTGAGACAAGTGGCCCTTCTTGCACATGGCGTCGAGAAGGGTGTTGTAGGTGATGTTATCAGGGGAACATGAGAAATGGGACATCTTGTGGATGAGGGTTCGGGCGTGGTGGAAGTTGTTGCCGGAGCAGTGACCGTAGATAAGGATGTTGAAGGTGTTGGTGTTGGGTTTGACGCCGAGGGAGAGGGCGTCGTGGAAGAGGTGGGAGGCGAGGGTGATGGAGGAGGAGGAGGAGGAGTGGACGAGGGCGTTGAGGAGGGTGTTGCAGGTGAGGAGGTTGGGGGCGAAACGGTGGCGTTTCATTTTGTGGAAGAGTTGGAGGGCGAGGTGGGGGTGGCGGGCCTGGACGTAGGCGGCGAGGGCGGTGTCGAGGAGGGGTTTGGAGGGAGGGAGGCGGAGGAGGAGGGAGTGGAGGGAGTGGCGGCGGTCGGAGGAGATGAAGGAGAGGAGGAGGGACTTGGCGTCGGAGAACTTGCGGCGGGAGAGGAGGGGGGGGAGGAGGGCGAGGAGAGGGTGGGGG